CACTGTTTTCTGTTTCCTAGGCGGAGGAGCTGCGTCAGCGCCTGCGGGAGCTGGAGGAGAGGGAGAGGAGGGAGGGGAAGAAGATGGCGGACGAGGAGGCCCTGAGGAAGATCCGATCTGTGGAGGAGCAGATTGATACCTTGAACAAGAAACTCTCCCTGGCGAAGCAGGTACTTCTCCAGTCCTGCACGGTTTGTACTGTCACATTCAAAAAGACTTATCGCTTCACTGAAGACTTTTGCCAAAATAGATATAATGAACACAGCATTAACAGGACAGACATTGGACAGTCATGTACGTAACAAACCATTGAGAGAGAGGCTCACTGTTCCTCAGGCTCTGATTGGTGATCACATACTGGGCATCCTGCTCAATTGAGTTCCCTCCCCCCTCTCCCAGTAAGATTGGGAACTGTTCTAATTCTGGCAGGTGTGGGAATTCTGGGATTAGAAAAGTATGTCTACTCCCTGAGTTTCTCTCGGCGTATAAGAAAGTGCATCTCTGTCCCTGCTTTCCATTGCTGGCAATGGGAGAATAGCATGTTATCTCTGGACAGTCAGGTCTGTCTGTATCCAGTTTTATGTGGCCAGACTGGTCACTGAGCCTGTACTTCACCAGTTTCTGTTTCTCTTTGCTGTATTTTACCTTCAGATACTTGGTGTGTATTGTCTCTTTAGGGTCCTGTAGATTTCCTTTGTGATGGTGTTTAGTGAAATCTAGCTTTCTTCTTAACTGTGGTCTTGTCCAGATGGTCTGACAGTTCTGGTCCAGCAGTGCCAGGCTCTGCTGCAGCCCCCACTCTGGGTCCAGATGGGCTGGCAGTGCCCAGGACTGACATTACTGCTCCAGCAGTGCCAGGCTCTGCTGCAGCTCTGGTTCTGGGTCCAGATGGACTGGCAGTGCCCAGTTGTGACAGTACTGCTCCAGCAGTGCCAGGCTCTACTGAAGCCCCTGCTCTGGGTCCAGATGGGCTTTCAGTGCCTGGGTCTGACAGTACTGCTCCAGCAGTGCCAGGCTCTACTGAAGCTCCTGTTCTGGGTCCAGATGGACTGGCAGTGCCCAGGTCTGACAGTACTGCTCCAGCAGTGCCAACCTCTGCTGCAGCCCCTGAAGTTCTGAGAGTAGAGCTGAAACTTGATCTCTGTGAGAGACCAGGAGCAGCAAACACTACGCTAACCTCTCTGTGTCAGTACAGCAGTAATAGTGTGTTGAGGAGAACACTCCTGCTCTTTTGAACAGTGTATTGAGTACTGACCTCCCTCTCCCAGGAGGAGGAGGCTCTCCTCAGTGAGATGGATGTGACAGGCCAGGCCTTCGAAGACATGCAGGAGCAGAACATCAGGCTGATGCAGCAGCTGAGGGAGAAGGACGATGCCAACTTCAAGCTGATGAGCGAGAGGATCAAGTCCAACCAGATCCACAAGCTGCTGAAGGAGGAGAAGGAGGAGCTGGCAGACCAGTTACTGACCCTCAAGACTCAGGTACAGAGAGTGATATCACTGCCACTGCACTGGCGTCTATAACGATCCAGGCACTTATGACCTCAGTTTAGTTTTTCATCCCAAGGACAGCATGTCCTCCAGTAGTATTCACCTGCAGGGGTGGCCTCTGTCGTCACCATATTGGCAAACTGGTTTGGAAGTTCTGGTCCAGCTGCAAAGGCGCCCCCTACTGGTCCAGCAGCGCCACATATAGCAGCAACCTGTTGTTTCCCCAGGGGTCTCCTCCCCAGTGCTGTCCAAGTCCAGCCCTGCCTGGCCTCTGACGCCAGGCCTGATGAGGGCAGTAGTTAATGAGTAAAAGGTTTATCCCATGATGAAAAGAGAAGAAAGAAAACGCAACGTTTCGGCTGTGGAGCCTTCTCCGGGTGTCGCGGCGGAGTGACCTGTGCTTGTGTGTCGTTGTGGCTGTGACCCTCCAGCTCTCCCCTCTCGGTCAGGTGGACGCCCAGCTGCAGGTGGTGAGGAAGCTGGAGGAGAAGGAGCGCCTCCTGCAGGGCACCATCAGCACGGCGGAGAGGGAGCTGGCGCTCAGGACGCAGGCGCTGGAGATGAACAAGCGCAAGGTCTGTACTGCCTGTTCTCCTGACTGCCCCGCGCTCTCCTGTGGTGACTGTCCTCTGTGCTCTACTGCAGTACTGTTTGTGTGCATTCCACTGTATAGCTTATAGTGCTTTTACTACTCTACTGCCCATCTGTGTGCACTGCACAGCTTACACTGCAGCTCCTGCTCTCTATGGCCTGTCTGTGTGCACTGCACAGCTTACACTGCAGCTCCTGCTCTCTACGGCCTGTCTGTGTGC